GTATTTGAGGACTAGCTTGATAATAAATATAAGGACGCGTTTGAGGACTAGCTTTAATAATAAAAATGAGGACGTAATTGAGGAATAGCACGATAATAAAAATGAGGACGTATTTAAGGACTAGCTTGATAATAAAAATGAGGACGTATTTGAGGACTAGCTTGATCATAAAAATGAGGACGCGTTTGAGGACTAGCTTGATAATAAAAATGCAGAACGCGTTTAAGAACTAGTTTTAATAATAAAAACGAATACGTAATTAAGGACTAGCTTCATAATAAAAATGAGGACGCGTTTGAGGACTATTTTTAATAATAAAAATGAGGACGTGTTTGAGGACTTGTTTTAATAATAAAAACGAGGACGTAATTGAGGACTAGCTTGATAATAAAAATGAGGACGTGATTGAGGACTAGTTTTAATAATAAAAACGAGGTCGTAATTGAGGACTAGCCTGATAATAAAAATGAGGACTCGTTTAAGGACTAGCTTGATAATAAAAATGCAGAACGCGTTTAAGAACTAGTTTTTATAATAAAAACGAATACGTAATTAAGGACTAGCATGATAATAAAAATGAGGACGTATTTGAGGACTAGCTTGATAATAAATATAAGGACGCGTTTGAGGACTAGCTTTAATAATAAAAATGAGGACGTAATTGAGGACTAGCTTGATAATAAAAATGAGGACGTATTTGAGGACTAGCTTGATAAAAAAATGAGGACGCGATTGAGGACTAGCTTAATAATAAAAATGAGGACGTGTTTGAGGACTAGTTTTAATAATAAAAACGAGGACGTAATTGAGGACTAGCTTGATAATAAAAATGGGGACGTATTTGAGGACTAGCTTGATAATAAATATGAGGACGCGTTTGAGGACTAGCTTCAATAATAAAATTGAGGACGTAATTAAGGACTAGCATGATAATAAAAATGAGGACGTATTTGAGGACTAGCTTGATAATAAAAATGAGTACGCGTTTGAGGACTAGCTTGATAATAAAAATGAGGACGTATTTGGGGACTAGCTTGATAATAAAAACGAGGACGCGTTTGAGGACTAGCTTGATAATAAAAATGAGGACGCGTTTGAGAACTAGTTTTAATAATAAAAACGAGGACGTAATCAAGAACTAGCATGATAATAAAAATGAGGACGTATTTGAGGACTAGCTTGATAATAAATATAAGGATGCGTTTGAGGACTAGCTTTAATAATAAAAATGAGGACGTAATTAAGGACTAGCACGATAATAAAAATGAGGACGTATTTGAGGACTAGCTTGATAATAAATATAAGGACGCGTTTGAGGACTAGCTTCAATAATAAAAATGTGGACGCGTTTAAGGACTAGCTTGACAATAAAAATGAGGACGTATTTGAGGACTAGCTTGATAATAAATATGAGGACGCGTTTGAGGACTAGCTTCAATAATAAAAATGAGGACGTGTTTCAGGACTAGTTTTAATAATAAAAACGAGGACGTAATTGAGGACTAGCTTGATAATAAAAATGAGGACGTATTTGAGGACTAGCTTGATAATAAAAATGAGTACGCGTTTGAGGACTAGCTTGATAATAAAAATGAGGACGCGTTTGAGGACTAGCTTTAATAATAAAAACGAGGACGTAATTGAGGACTAGCTTGATAATAAAAATAAGGACGTAATTGAGGACTAAATCGATAATAAAAATGAGGATGCATTTAAGGACTAGCTGCAAAAATAAAAAAGAGGACACATTTGAGGACTAGCTTGATAATAAAACGAGGACGTAATTAAGGACTAGCTTGATAATAAAAACGAGGACGTAATTGAGGACTAGTTTTAATAATAAAGGCGAGGACGTAATTGAGGAATAGCATGATAATAAAAATAAGGACGTATTTGAGGACTAGCTTGATAATAAATATGAGGACGCGTTTGAGGATTAGTTATAATAATAAAATCGAGGACGTAATTGAAGACTCGCATGATAATAAAAATGAGGACGTATTTGAGGACTAGCTTGGTAATAAAAATGAGCACGCGTTTGAGGACTAGTTTTAATAATAAAAACGAGGACGTAATTGAGGACTAGCTTGATAATAAAAACGAGGACGTAATAGAGGACTAGCCCTAATAATAAAAACGAGGACGTAATTGAGGACTCGCATGATAATAAAAATAAAGATGTAATTGAGGACTAGCTTGTTAATAAAAATAAGGACGTATTTGAGGACTAGCTTGATAATAAAAATGAGGACGCGTTTGAGGACTAGCTTGATAATAAAAATGAGGACGCGTTTGAGGATTAGTTATAATAATAAAAACGAGGACGTAATTGAGGACTCGCATGATAATAAAAATAAGGACGCGTTTGAGGACTAGTTTTAATAATAAAAACGAGGACGTATTTGAGGACTAGCTTCAAAAATAAAAAAGAGGACACATTTGAGGACTAGCTTGATAATAAAAATGAGGACGTATTTGAGGACTAGCTTGATAATAAAAATGAGTACGCGTTTGAGGACTAGCTTGATAATTAAAATGAGGACGTATTTGAGGACTAGCTTGATAATAAAAATGAGGACGCGTTTGAGGACTAGCTTTAATAATAAAAACGAGGACGTAATTGAGGACTAGCTTGATAATAAAAATAAGGACGTAATTGAGGACTAAATCGATAATAAAAATGAGGATGCATTTAAGGACTAGCTGCAAAAATAAAAAAGAGGACACATTTGAGGACTAGCTTGATAATAAAACGAGGACGTAATTAAGGACTAGCTTGATAATAAAAACGAGGACGTAATTGAGGACTAGCTTCAATAATAAAAACAAGGACGTTATTGAGGACTAGCATGATAAAAAAAATTAGGACGTATTTGAGGACTAGCTTGATAATAAAAATGAGGACGCGTTTGAGAACTAGTTTTAATAATAAAAACGAGGACGTAATTAAGGACTAGCATGATAATAAAAATGAGGACGCGTTTGAGGACTAGTTTTAATAATAAAGGCGAGGACGTAATTGAGGAATAGCATGATAATAAAAATGAGGACGTATTTGAGGACTAGCTTGATAATAAATATGAGGACGCGTTTGAGGATTAGTTATAATAATAAAATCGAGGACGTAATTGAAGACTCGCATGATAATAAAAATGAGGACGTATTTGAGGACTAGCTTGGTAATAAAAATGAGCACGCGTTTGAGGACTAGTTTTAATAATAAAAACGAGGACGTAATTGAGGAATAGCTTGATAATAAAAAGGAGGACGTAATAGAGGACTAGCCCTAATAATAAAAACGAGGACGTAATTGAGGACTCGCATGATAATAAAAATAAAGATGTAATTGAGGACTAGCTTGTTAATAAAAATAAGGACGTATTTGAGGACTAGCTTGATAATAAAAATGAGGACGCGTTTGAGGACTAGCTTGATAATAAAAATGAGGACGCGTTTGAGGATTAGTTATAATAATAAAAACGAGGACGTAATTGAGGACTCGCATGATAATAAAAATAAGGACGCGTTTGAGGACTAGTTTTAATAATAAAAACGAGGACGTATTTGAGGACTAGCTTCAAAAATAAAAAAAAGACACATTTGAGGACTAGCTTGATAATACAAACGAGGACGCGTTTGAGGACTAGCTTGATAATAAAAATAAGGACGCGTTTGAGGACTAGATCGATAATAAAAACGAGGACGAATTTGAGGACTAGCTTGATAATAAAAATGAGGACGTGTTTGAGGACTATCTTGATAATCAAAACCAGGACGAATTTGAGGACTAGTTTGATAATAAAAATGAAGACGTATTTGTGGACTAGCTTGATAATAAAAATGAGGAAGTGTTTGAGGCTTGATAATCGCTGTCTCATTTAAAAAGAATGGAATATTTTGAGTCGGGATGATTGGTAAATATAGATAAATGCTCTGTGATACATGCTGCTCTTGGACTTTTTAAAAATATTGATAAATAATTATTTTTAAAATTGTTTAAACATTTGGAAAAGGGGGTTTTGAACGGTTTGTTATCGCTGTCTTATTTTTAATGAATAAAATATTTCCGGTTAACATTTGGAGGGGTAATAGAGGAAGATTCTCTAATGCACTCCCCTCTCCGTTTTTGCAATAATTTTGCGTGGAAATTATTTTATTAGCTATTGAAAGTGGAGTAATTTGTGGTTGAGACATTTCCTTATATCCATTCTCGGCCACCAGCTTGAATTGGCGCTATCTTCTTGACCATTGACACATAAATCCACTTGTGTGTGTGCTCTCCGCCATATTGTCGCTCACTTTCTCCAAAAATTCAACTTTTCAACTTTCTTTTTTAATATTTTTTTCAAAAATTACTTGCAAAACTTAAAAATATTCTCTATTAGTAAGCTCTCCTTTAAGTAAATCGAAAAATTTCACCTCTATATATAATAAAATGACAGACGAGAAACCACTTTTTGAGAGCGACAATTCCCGGATGCTCTTAATTTTTGTAATTACATATTTTTGAGAATTTAAGTATTACAAAAAATAATTAAAAAGTAACTTTAAAAAAATTCCAATTGTTTGATTTATTGTTAATATCTTTTAATTTATTGACAAGGATAGAGACATAAAAAAGTCTTAACACAATAAATTTAGATAAGATGTTTTATAAATTCTCTAATCAACTTTTAGAATTAAAAAAAGAATTATTTATTTGAAAGTATATATATATATATATATTAAATAATATTGTTGATATTTTATTGTGACTAAAATTAGAGAATTTAAAAAAAAGAGTGAGTCAAACGTATAGAAATAGACCTGCGTATAGAACAGAATACGGCACAAATCATTTTCTTCTTAGGTTGTTACAAAATTTTGTAATACTCCTACGCATTTTATCTCTTGTTATTTTTTCTTTACAATTTTCCAATACATAATCTAATAGAAAAATATTAATTTATGAATCTTAAAAAAAAATACATATAAATACACAAAAATAATTATTTTAATACCCTCAATAGCTTTAATTGTTTCCTCTGGTATAACTTCATAGTCATTCTTCGCAGATAGAGCCATTTTTTTAAGTCTTTTTTTGCCGAATTTAAAAGATAAAATAGTTGTGGTCATTTTCTTTGCATTATTTATAAATCGATTTAATTTTTCTCGCTCCTCTTCGTTTAAAACAATTTCACTTGATTCAATGACATCCTTTTCTTGCACTATCGATAATTTTGATAAATTAGTTTCCAAATCAGAGAATGAAGACTCCTGAAATAACTCTGTTGAGGTCGATGCATCTGTTAAGATAATTATAAATAATTAAATTGTATTAAATTTTAACATTTCTTGTTGATGACTAATAACATGAAATGACGCTTTCATTGACTATAAGAGCGCACTATTTTTGTACGTATTAGATAAAAAATGATCTTAAAATATTTACCAGTGTTACTTGATTCACACGTATTATCAATAATAATGCCATGTTTATTGACAATAAGGCTTTGAAGCCATTCTGCGTCATCTAAAAATTATTAAAGAAATTTACATAACATAAAAAACAGGTACATGAAGCATTTAAAAAGAAATGTAAGAGAAAAGTAGAAAATATTAAAGTTTGAATGTGAAAAAGATTGTTTGGTTGTTAGAATAGAAGACATGGAATAAAATTGTGAAATAAAAAGCAATTATCTTAAAACTTTTTTTGTAGATTTAAGAAGAAGGTTCAGGACAGATTCGATATGTATAAAAAATTGGAAACTTTTTGTATTAATAAATTTTATAGAATTGAATAATAATCAAAAGTAAAATATAAAATTACAACATTTTTAAAGTAATTGAAAGGGAAATAAATGAAATGAGAATAACATTTTAACCTCAATAATACTAACTATGAATTGCCACAATTTTTGCTTTATAGGTTTTATTTCCCCATTTAACAGTTGCCTGATCCTGATTTTTTTTTTGAATTTCACTTTCCTTCACAACACTAACAGTTTTTTCAGTCACCCAATGTACTAAACAATACATTTTGCAAATGTCCAAACACAATTCGTAAATATGAAAAAACTTTTTTGAAAATAATACAATATTGCAATTCGTTTGTTATAACTAACTTCAAAATATTGAAATTTGAAAATGACTTTAAATTTCTTAACATTTTAGCTAATAATATAAACGATGTTGTTCAGAGTATCTAACGGTTAGGGAAGTCAGGGAATTTTTTAGGCCAGGGAAATTTCTATAAATTTATATAAAGATAAAATTTTTTGTTAATAGAATAATAGGAGTAATAGAAATTACCTATTTTATTTAATATTAAATTTTTAATTACACGAAGTTCATAAAATTGAATAAAAAAAATTAATTAATTTTATTAATTATATGAAATAATTAGTTATGATTGTTTAAATTAATATTGTAATTAATAACTGAATAATTATTTTAATTACCTACAAATTAAATTAATCATTTTGTAAAACAATAATAATAATAAAAATTTAATTTTATCAATTTTTATTCTTAAAAAAAATCAAAATTTTTGAAACAATTTTATTAAAAATATATTTTTTTAATCTATTGATTTTTATAATTAAATTATCAAAATAACTATAAAAAAACTATTAATTTTGTAATTATTTTAATTGTTCCTTTTATTAAATTAATATTTATTTTATTGAAATTGTACAAGTAAAGAAAAGCTAACTCTGTATAACTTGCAAAATGTGTTGATTTAATTTAATTTTTATTTTCACTTACCTTTAAAGTTTAAACAGTCGAGTAAATATTCTTTTTTTAAAGCAATTCAAATTTTATTTTTTCAAACCTTTTTTTTAAAAAGTCAATTTTTTATTTCAGTCTATGTATTTAAAAACTGTACGCAGAAATTATCAACAGACGAATTCAAAAAATGTATTACAAAATTTTTGGATAATTTGAGAAGAAAATGAAAATTTTTTTGTTCATTTATAATCTTTGTATAACAAAACAGTTCCCGAAAATCGACAATATTTAAATTCTGGTTTAAAAAATATAGTAATAACTGTTATTATTATGCCTGCGCACCCTGCCACGCGGAGCAGTACATTGCAGGTTTTTATATTTTTAGTCAAAAGAAAATTCAGAATATAAATTTATTATTTTTGAATATTTGTACTATATTTTGCTTCTTAATTAAATAAATACTTAAGATTTAATCAAAATCTTCTTTAAGCCTTTTATCCTATTTATTCATTTCAACTTAGAAAAATATTATAATTGGGAATGTTATATGGTAACACCGTTGCAATTCTAGTTGGAAATTTTATAATAATACTTGCAACAGAGTAAAATTTGAGAAATAAATTATATCTGAACAATGAGACAAATAAAATAAATTTCTTTCATTGTCTAGCGTACAATAGTTCAATTAGTCGTGCTCAGCACCCTTCCTTAGATTTTTTTCTAAGTATATTTGAAATAAAAAAATCAAATTTTTGCAAATATTAAAATATGGATTTATAAAGTTTTTTAATATTCTCTCAGTTACTGCTTAATTCACATTACTAAAGTGAAGTAAACGTTGGCGTATTCTTTTATTTTGTTATTGTGACAAAACATTCATTCTTTTTTTGACACATTATACGAAATGGTCGTTTATACAGAAAAAGAATATTTGCAAATGATTCAATGCCATGCATTATCAGGAGGTAACTGTCATAGAGCTGCTCAACTATATAGAGAAAAGTACCCAGACAATCAGCGATTTCCCGGGCACCAAGTTATTACACGGACGATGATTCGAATTAACGAAGGAGGACCAATCAAACCTGATAATAAAAATATATCAGGGAGACCAAGGTCGAGGAGAACAGCTGAGGTTGAAGAAAAAATTCTAGAATATGTTCGCGAACATCCTCGAACCGGACTACGAGCAGTTGCGAAAAAATATGGTGTTTCTTATTCCATGGCGCAGGCGACAGTAAAGGAAGCAAAGTTAGTTCAAATAGATATTAACAGTTTAAAATAATTTTTAAGTTTAATAATAGAGATAATACTGGATTTAAATTTATTTATTATATGATCGTATATCTAGAACCTTTAACTTTTCAATAAACAATTTTTGTTTATTTTTATAAATTTATAAATAAATAATTTATAATAATAATAATTATATTACGTAATATATTATTATTCTTATTATTATATTTATTACTAATTACTAAAAAATTAAATTATTTATTAACAATTTTTTTTTTGAATAGTTAAGTTTCTTTAATAATTTTAATTGGAAATTTTGAAAGTAATTAAAATTTATGAACAATTTCTTTCAGATTTTTAAAATAATTCAAGTTTTCTATAAAATATTATAATTTATTCAAGGAATTTTATTAAAATATAGAAAATAATTAAACTTTCATTAAAATTATTAATAAAAAATTAAAATCTTTTAAATAATTTTATTAGAAATTTGTAAATAATTAATTTTTTTGAAGAACTTCTTTAAGTTCTTTTCGACACAAATTTAATTTTTTAAAATAATTTTAAATGAAAATTTTAAAAATAATTGAATTAAATAAAATTCTTTTCAATTTTTTTAAATTATTGTGTCTGGTAATAATTATAATTAAATATTTGATAATTTTTACACGTTTATTAAAACTATATCGAATATAATTGAATTCCTGAGAACAATTTTATTATTTATAAAAATAATTTGATTTGGCGATTAATTTTACTATAACATCTAAAAATAATTGAATTGTTTAGAAGGATTTATTAAAATTTTAGAAAATAATTGGATTCTATCGAAAAATTTTATTCAAAATAAAAAAAAATTGAATTCCTTCGAAAAATTTTATTGAAAAGTATTGTCAATTTTTGCAAAAAAATTTTTTATTTATAAAAATAATTAAATTCTTACAAAGAATGTTATTATTTATGAAAATAATTGAATTCTTGCGCGAAGAATTTTAATAAAAATTTTGAATTTATAAACAACAATAATTAATTATTAAATTAGTTAATAATTGAATTTTTTGAAAGTTTGAATCTGAAATTTTTCAAAAATTCATGTTTGAAAATAAAAAGTTTTGTAATTTGCATAATAATAATAAATGGAATACAATAATTAAAAAATTTTACTCGTAAACTTAAAAAAATAATTTTTAAAATCTGTCAAAAAATAATTCAAATTTAAAGTTCGATTAAAATATTATCAAAATATATGCGGAGATATGAAAGTTAAAGGTTCCAAAGATTTGTCTTAAAAAAATATAAAATATTTAATAATATTAAATATTTAATATGTTATTTATCAATGTTTGATTTTATTGGCAGGTTGCATGACTACAGCTTTAGAAGAGTTCACACCCTAAGCCACCGGTTTGATCGTAAAAGGCGTTTAAAATTTTGCAAGTGGCTTGTAAAAAGACACGAGCGTGACCCCACTTTTATAAATAACATTCTTTTCACCGATGAGTGTCGTTTTGCTAGAGAAGGTCCATTCAACTACAGAAATGAACACTACTGGAGTGACAGAAATTTGTTTCTGGAGATGCCACACTCTCATCAAGAAAAATTCTCTGTGCATCTGTGGGCTGGGATTCTAGATGGCCAATTGGTAAGCGTCCTACAAAACAAATGATTCCGGTTTTAGTATTTGACGAATTTTTAATAAATATGCATACAACATTAGTAAGCAATTTTTTAAGAATATTGTACAAAATTCTTACAAAAAAGTGGTTTATAATTAGGAGAGAGGGGGCAAACCGGCCATACCCACGATTTTTTTTTACTCTTGTGACTAAACGAATCAACCGATTTCATTTTTCGATGGCTTGTTAGAAAGATCATTTAATTGCGCAACTTTTTCCTAGAGACACCTAAACTTTATCTTTTATTGTTTAGTTGCTGTGTTAATTTTTTAAAAAATTGCAAACTGGCCGGTTTGCCCCACCCCCTGGGGTATACCGGCCATCTACGTTTTTTATCTATAATATTGCATTTTTATAATCTACAATAACAACAAACATAAAGAATCATGCAAACAATGGTTGTAATAATGTAAATAATAATACAGGATGGAATTTTAATTAAATAAATAATTTTTTTAAATAACCGAAAAAAATGTTTGAAATTATCAGAGAAACAATATTAAAGGGTCTAATTCTCGTTGGAAGATAATTATTTTTCATTGAAAGTAAAAATTTTAATGAAAAAAACATTCTAATTAATAATAATTTTTTTGGAACTCTAATACAATGAAAATATCCTATGGCCGGTTTGCCCCACAGGCTCATTTTGAGAATAAATATTTGTTTAAAAGAAACGCTTTGCAAATTCATCAAAGTTTTTGGTGGTAAATATTCCTGAGGTGTGTACCTTCATAACCCAAGACCTAATATTTGGAAATATTACACGATTTCCTTAGAATTTCCTTAAGAAAAAATTCGTAAAAGTGTAAAAAAAATAAAAAAAACTTTTGCTCCCAGCGTTGCACAAACAAAAGTAAAATATACTACACATGGTTGTTTCAAATTTCTAAATAGCACTTTTGCCAATTTCGCCATTTTGGAGATATTGACACCTGGCCGGTTTGCCCCACTCTCCCCTATTGAAAAAATTTCTGATTTCTGAACAAAATTTCTGATTTATTCGCACGAATACTACAAAAAATTACTAAGGCAAATTTTTTGTTTTAAATCGATGGTAGCAATATTGCTGCAATTTAGATATTAATGGTAAATAAATTTAAACTTTTTTATTCTTGATACTAATCTCCTTTATTTTCAGATCGGTCCTTTCCAAATTAATGGATACATGAATGGAAAACGATACAGTGACTTCTTAAAGAACTACGTTCCTAGGTTAGTTAGAGCTAGTGGAATCGCAGCAGGTAGGAAGTATAGATTTATGCAAGATGGAGCGGGTATTCACCGAAGTAAAGTGGCGTTGAAGACTCTTCGATCATTATACGGAAAACGTATTATTGCGCTCGGTACAAAAAGAGAATGGCCCCCAAGATCGCCGGATTTAACTCCATGCGATTTTTTTCTTTGGGGGCATGTTAAAGCTCACGTTTATTCAAAACCTGTTGAAAACCAAGAACAGATACGGGAGAGAATAAAAGAAGCTTTTTTAACAGTCACTCCTGAAATGTTAAAAAGATGCAGCTTGAACTTGATCAGGAGAGCAAAATGTTGTATAGAAGCAAAAGGACGCACATTTGAAAGTTTACTTCCAAGGCATGTCAGATACAACTTGTCAGATAATTGAAAACAAATCTTTAATTAATATCCTTCTAGAATCCAAGCCCATAGATGCACAGAGAATTTTTCTTTATGAGAGTGTAGAATCTTCAGAAACAAATTTCTATCACTTAGTGGCTTAAAGTGTGAACTCATGCAACCTGACAATAAAATATTCTCTTCTTTCTTACTCTAACACACACATGTACATACGTACACTTGAAAATTAGAAGAAAATGGAAAGCTTCTCTTCTTGTGGTTTTTTTGATTCTCCATCATCTTATTTACTTTCTTCTTCTCATTATATTTCTTCACGAACTTACACCCAAAAGACCAAATAATACATATATACATTAATTATTTCCTAGATTATAATTTGATTTGTTTATTATTTGTTGTTTATTATTATTATTATTATTATTATTATTATTATTATTATTATTATTATTATTATTATTATTATTATTATTATTATTAATTGTTATGTGATTGTAAATTTTTTCGTTTATAAAATATACGTATTTTGAAACCATATAAACATCTTTTTTGATACAACTTCAAAATGCTTTTTTAGAATAAGGCTATATTTTTTTATTTAAAAACTTTACAGTACATAGAATACAGTACTTTAAAAACAGAAATCGATTAATTTAATTTATTTTTTTTAAGTATGACAATTTTTTTATTTCCTTAAATTGTTGAAGAATTATTAAGTAACGCATTTATTGAACAAGATTGTTGTTATACTATTTTTCTTGCTGTTATGTTGAAATCCGAAAGCTGCAAACAAGAAACATACGCTTATTTAATTATTAATTAATTATATTGAATAACTTATTTAATTTACTTAAAATTACTTTAGTGAAAGTAAAAATTAACTTCCTCGAGTTCTAAAATAAAAATTTTTAATTGTAACTTATGTGGAACATTTTTTATTAATTATAGCAAAAATTTCCATAAATTACTGAATAATAATTTTTAATTGAGATTCGCGCTATTACATTTTTATAAATTACCGCTACAACTTTTATAAATAACTACAATTTACACAAATTATCAGAAGAAAACACCTTCTTACGCCAAAAACTGTCCAAACAGTGAATTTGTTAATGGTTATACTTGTTTACAACAATTACTTTTCTTTAATTCAGTAATAATTCAGCTAGGAAATATTTTTGGATAAATGCTTTTTTCGATTCCGAACAATTAAAAAGTCTGTTTTTCAATTTGGTTAAAAAAATTTTTAAAAAATTTTCTTTCTGGGCTCTTTATCTTCAAAAAAAATATATTGATAATTATCATAACGATATTTTTTTTTTTAATTTCATAAACCAAATCTTTCGCTACACGAAGAAATGTAACATTAAATTGCATTAAATTTTTATCAACGATATCGATACTATCGAAATGAAATTCAGATTCTCAATTATTTCTTGAAATTCTTATTAAAATATTAAAAATGGATTGGGCTTGTATAAAATACATTGAAGAATGTCCCGGGCATAAAAACCAATCTTATATTATACCATTAGCAAATGTGCAAATTGATACCGAGAAATTTAATCCATGCAAATCATACTTAGCCAAATGTTTCAGAAATGAAAATAAATGGTGCCGTGCATTAATTGCATTCATCGAGAATAACAGTAAGTTATTTTTCGATTTTCAAAAATATATTATTTAGTCCAGTTTGCATTTCAAACATATATATACATATTAAAGTTTGATAAAAAATAGGGTAAAAAGTTTCACATTCAATCACTTTAAGGTTAATATTTTTCTCAGTATTAACATGAAAATTGACATTAAAACTAATATTCATGTACAAAAATAATAATAAAGACAGTAGAGTCTTTAGTCAGGGCTATAAAACTTACTTAGCTAGATTTTGCCAATACTTCGGATAAAAAAATTTTATGAGAAAATTAAAATTTTTTATAAGATAAAGGTACCAATACCGGAACGCTTTTTAACCTAACTAAATTTCTATGATAAATATCTTGGAATTAGAAGTGTTAATATGAATAATTAGGGTATATATTGAAAGATTGTTATTTTATTAATAGTATTTAAGACCTGAAATGATTATTTTTTATGAAATAAGAATAATATTAATTAAATTATAAAACTCTGCACTGTACCTATTACGGAACGATCATTTTCTCTGTGTACGGGTGTTCCAAATTGAATGTCCCTATTAAGGAACACCTAGAACACTTTATTTGATTCAATAAGTAATTACAATTCTATTGAATTATCTCAAAAATTTAAATATTAATTATAAAGAATTAAATACAATGAACAAATTTTAGTTTAATAGATAATTAAAAAGCCAATTTTTTTGGTAGAAAATTAAACATTTCTTATTAAATTAAATACTATACAGAAATAATAATTCTTATATTGTGTAAAATTTATTGAAATAACTAGAATTTTCTTACCACTAATTTTAATTGCATTTATTTCAATTTTTGTAATACTGTTCCGTAATAGGGACGAAATTTTAAAGTGTTCCGTTATTGGTACTTTTACAAATTTGTTATTTACAATTTGACAACTATAAATTGTCAAATTAAATATTGTACATTTAATTGGTTACCAATATAAATTCCATTGATATAAATTATTAGGCACAAGAGATAAAGCTATACAAAGGAAAAATAAGTATCGATTGAAGTATCCTCCATTGAACCAAATCGATCAGGATGATGGATCCACTTTTGAATCAGGAATACACGCTGAGAAGGTAGCCATTAAAAAGAACTAAGTTAAATAATTTATTTATTTAATTTACACTTGTTTATTTACAAATTCGTTCATAAAAATAGGGTTTCGCTCAATTATAAATTTAGTTTATTTTTATATTCATTCGGTTTCTTAACACTCTTAAATAGTATATTGTGCGCTAAGGGACAGAAAGTGGCTTTTTTTAAAAAATGCAATAAACATTTAATTTAAAATTATCGAATATCAATAGGTATTGCAAAAAGCCATCTATTCAATCCTTAGACCTCCATCTGTTGCATCGTGAGGAGTTTCCTCATTTAGTTTTTTTATTTATAACTTTTAAAATATATAAAATTATAATAACAATCTTTATACTCTCAAAATTCTCTAAGTTTTGCAAGGAATTCACTCATATGGATAAGTCCAATAGTTCCAGAATAGGCCCTTTTCATGTGGACGTCCACATATTATTAATTATTTTATAATTTTATTATTTTATTCTCAGTTATTACAAGAAAAAGGTAATCAATATAAAAGGTTAAGTAAATTAAAACAAAAATGTCAGCCATCAAGAAGGCAACGTCAGGATTATAACTTTCAAAAAGTACGTAGCGACCCTGATGAAGATTATAATTTCAAAAAGGACGATGAAGCTGACTCGAATAGGATTCGAGAAATATTAGGACAGCCGAAAAAGATCCGAAAATATGATGACGACGGTGATTATGATTATGATGATGATGATGATGATGAAGACGACGACGACGACGATGATGATGATGATGATGATGATGATGATGATGATGATGATGATGATGATGATGATGATGATGATGATGATGATGATGATGATAATGATGATGATGATAATGACGATGATTTTGATTACTATGCGGTGAATTATAAAGAAGAAGACAACTTCAAAGATGATAAAGATGATCATTTTTATTTTGAATTTATTCCAGAAAATATCAAGAATATTCTTTTAAATAAAGGTACCTAAAATTAGCGCTACTACGTTGACGAAATTACTTTTTTGTTTTACCTACTCGGAAAGTACACCATTTCGGGTACTTGAAGCGAAGTAATATACGTGGTTTTTTACGTGTATAGTACTGTAAAAACAGGTATTCTACCCCGTGTAGAAATTGCCATATCTAGGCCATATCATGGCATGAAACACCTTCCCAGATCGGGGGTAGAGGGGGGTCAATTTGACCAATTTTTGCTAACACCGGCTACTTTGTGAATTTTTTCAGAACATACTTGTAATGGGAAAAATTTTTTAGAATATGTTTCTGAAAGGTTTTTTCGTCCTCTTTCCAATGGTGAATTTTATTTTTTAATATTTTAAAAATTTACCCTAATTTTTGATAATTAATATTTAATTTTCAATTTCCCAGAAATCGGTCCGTTTTTTTGAAAATAAATTATTGCAAACGAAAGCTGAGGTTTTTTCCTAACGGCATATAAATTTTCAGAATGCCCTTTTTTTGTTTTTGAGTTATTACATTTCAAAGAATAAATTGCGTCCCGGGCGCCTCGTCTCACGCCGGTTGCCACGCGGCTCAGTGCAACCGCGACCAAGGGTGAGTACCCATGGTTCGCGCCCATTCGGCTTGGTATTTTTTCGGCACGTGAGACAATCTGAGCGGGAGGTTTGACGTCGAGGTATAATGATGTGCACCGTCGATTATTGTCCGGTACAGACCATTAGAACTCGACTGTCGATAAACCGGTTGTACTCAGGAGAGGTTTTCTACAGTTTCCCTCTCCACTGGCGAGAAAACCCATTAGACGGGTGGTCCAGGCAAATGCGAGTACTCCTAATTTTCAAGTCGCTCTGTAGGCGCAAAATTTAGTATTAAGTTTGTCAGGGAAAAATTTGTAAGAGAAATTTACGAGATGTAAACAAACACTTGTATAGCCAAGATTGTAGTCTTAAGACGAGTGTATAAACAAATAGTTTAAGTATGTTTAGGTGTTTTTAACAAAATTTTAAAGTTTTGGTATAAAATTTACAAATAGTAGATTTCAAGCTACGATTTTAATGAGAAATTACAAAAAAAATTGAGAAAGTGCCAATATAACAGAATATTATTGAAAAAGCGATAGGAGAAGTATTGCTGAATAAAAATAGCATTCACGGAATACCTAGGAACCTTAATTTACAATATACAATAAGATTGGAAACTGTAGATAATAATTAGCAATCATTATTCATTACGCCCCAGGAGTTATCCATTACGCCCCGGCTCGGGGCGTATTTTGGAGTTCTGCATTGCTCCAGAAAAACTGTTGTAGAATAAAAAGTAGAAGTCATATCGGGACGTTTGTAGTCTTAAAAGAAAGCTGAGATACCAGAGTAACTTTTCTGGAAGATAAACATTCAATTAGAACAAAAATATCCGAGTAAAACCACAAAAAGTGAAAAGTTAGCTATTACGCCCCGGTCTCCACTACTTTGCTGCTCATGTGCAAAAAAGTACTACTTTTCGCCTACTTTACAGGCAAGTAAAGAAATACTTTCTACATAGCTGTTACACAAAATAATTTATTGATTAGAAAAGTATAAAAATTTCTTTTTTTCGGTAAACA